AGAAGTAGCGGGATGATGGCAAGTTGCTAATGTATCTACACAAGTAAAGTCCCAAACAACTGATTCACCGTTTTTCCATTGAACAAGTGTCACATATAATTATAAGAATTGTTATGCTCCCAAATCAACCCTTTCTCGGAAATCTGCTTCAGTAGAAAATTTTCAGCTATAGAATTTTTCAATATGAGAGCTCCATTATGAAACTTTTGCATCTCATTGTTCAATGTCGTGTGAGACCTATAGTGCAGTAATCAAATAAAATAGAGACTGTGTTTTGAACTAGGAAACTCCGCAGTTATTCCTCAGTAAGTATTGCTATGGATTATTGCCGTGGCTATAAATCAAAATTCATAGGAAACGATGATCATTTCTGTTAAAACAAAAAATGATCATTAAAAAAAAAGAGAAATAGCATGTATTTTTTAGGCGATGCCTGGATTATATGCCATACAAAAGAAACTATTGTGAGAGTTATATAACGCGATAACTATGAGCTGATTTTTGTGAGTATCTCAAACAATTCTAAACGAAATTGAACAGTTCAACCCAAAGCATAACAAAGTAATATCTACATTACGTAATATAGACATACACGTATTTTGAAATGAATCACCAAAATGAACTATAATGTATATTGAAACCGGATGCTTTCAACAATGAATAATACTAACTGGTTATTATTAATCACTTAGATTTGTACCTACATGACTCGAGGACGAGGTCGTAATCTCCCTTGTCCCCAAGTCTCGTTACTAGTTTTTTGTTTGCTCTAAGTTCGTACTGGTCACTCTGTTGTTGGGGGCCCATATTTATGTTGTTGTAGCAGGTATCGGGTACCTGAGGTATTTTCAGGTATCTTGCGTGACATTAATGTCCTCAATGTTTGTGGTAGTCTCTGCGAATCATCTCGCTTGTTAAGGCAGTTGGGGCGTTTTCCAATTTCGATTGCTTCCCGAATTGAAAAACGAAATGGTTCAGGTCAGAAGAAATCAGAAGAACATAGCGTAATTTGTGCCAATATTAACAATTGCAAAATTACATTCCCATCATATGATTTTGTTGAATTCTGTAATCATGTATGTAAAAAAATGCCTTTTTATAGTTTACGCAGATTTTGAGTCTCAACTAAAAAAATGTAATGTCAACTTTCGAATACTCCATCAAAATACCAACGACATAAGGTCTATAGTGCAGGCTACTACCTGTAATATTCCTATGATGACAGCCTTTCTCGATTCAATAGCTATTGAGGCCAGGATTCTATGGACTGGTTTGTTAGTGAAATGAATGAAATTGCAAAACTTGCAAAATCAAAAATATGATACCCATGATAGTGTCTCCAAATACTATTTGTGCAATGACATGTCATTTTTGTGAGAAACCCTTCACCAAAAAAGACGTTATCTTACACGATCACTGTCTCTTCACAGGTCAGTTTAGGGGATTTGCCCATCAAGCTCCATGTGGTTTGAGCACATGGAGCTTAATGGGCTCCATCACATTCCATAACTTGTCATGCTACGATAATCATTTCACCAGAGTCATTTCATCAGAGATATTTTCAAGCGAGGACGCTTGAAATATCTCTGATTGGGAAAAGTACATTCCCTCCACATCCAAAATTTGAATAGATATTTGAATTCATTTTATGCATGAACCATGTGAAACTCAAACCAGGTTAGAAAGAAACGGAAATGTCATATGAATTATATGAGAGAAGAGATCACTTGGATTATCTAATTTTTACAGAATTCACTACTTCTATTTCTACATAGCTTTACAAATTTGATACACATTTTCATATTACTACACCTCAGTCTTGACGTACCTACATAATTAGGTTTTGAATTTATCTCATGAACATTTTTGTAATTTTTGAAGGTCAATAAATATCTTATTTTATCTTATCTAAGCTGCTGGGGCAAATTTAGTCACACCGTAGTTGTAGATGTCTTGAAGGAGAAATTTTTGGAGAAAACAGTATTATGTGAGTTGAAATTTCTAAGTATCATCATAGAATTTAATGAAAGAGAAAGAATTATATCGATTGAGTAACATCACATGAATTATCTTCTACAATATTCCAATTTTCTTAAATGATTGACGTCTGTTTTTTCTGAGATGNAAATATAATTGTAAATTTGACTTAAATTTTGTATTTCTGATTTTTTGTTCAAGTTATTATTATTTTCACTTCACACATAAGTATGGATTATTTTTCGCAAGCGCATTCGATTTTAATTTTTTTCTATTTGAATTGTTTAACAGTGGTACTTTTCTAATGTCAACAAACGTCACTTCCTGGTATGTTCCTACTGATATACGTATTTCAATTTTATTTCTAATTGTGAAGTAGGGCCCCAGTGTTGCTTCAAAAATGCTTCTTTCAACTCAGCATACATGCTGAACATATAGCTGTAGCATTCAAACCCGACTTCGCAAATAAATTAGTCAAATAAAATTGTATTCGTGAAGAAGGTTCATTCAGCTGTAATGTATTTTTGATAAAATTCTGAAAGTTTTTAAAATACTAGGGTAGCGCCGCTAAAGAACACTATAGGTATATTAAATCACACAGGTCAATTCACTTATTTCGTTCTCGGGTTTAAATGAACGATTTTAATTGTGGCCTGGGTCTGCGAATTTTATGGAAAAAAGTAGTGAAAAAAAAAGGTATCGTATGTTTCGGTCGATGGAACAGTGACTGGGTAGATTTTGGATAGATTGGATGAATGGTGCCTATTACGTATCGTTCTTAATGGATTTTTCACTATTTCATTCCAAATCGGCGAATTTCATTTTGGGTTATTGTATTTTCTGGATATCGCCGGATTGTCTCCAATAATAGAGGATAAGTCTCTGGTATATTAGTATTCAACGGCTCAGGGATCTCCATTGAAAGCAACGAAATACTTCCTGCTATTTCGTGGAAATCAAACAAATCAGCAAGCCGAAAGGCAAAATTCCAGTAAAAAACCGCACAATCAACGGGATGCAGTCGAAGGTCAATATCCGACCCACTATGAAGGTGAAACCTTGATGAAACAGGTAACCCAGTTGATAATATATCTACAATTCCTTTGTAGCTGCAAATTTTCCAATACAAAATCTTACGTCGGAGAATCCTCCATTATCGAGTAATATAACTGTGCTAAATTTTCAAAAATTTCCAGTGGTAAATTTGTTTCAGGCAGACATATTTGAAAATAATGTTGGATAAATGTTCATAAAACGCAAAATTTAGCGGAAAATCATACTATTTATAGAAATATTCATACTTCACCTGCCCTGAAAGATGTAAGAGTCGTACGCACTGATTTTCTGAACAATATTGAAGCGTATTTTGATGCTTTGTTACGTGATTTTTGGCTTTTCCTATTGAGCGATAGAACAGTTTAGGTGTATGCACCGACTAATATTTCAATGGACTCGAGTGTGGGTCATATAACTATTATTATTAGCCAAAAAAATGCATGAGAGGGCTCCAAGTGATTTACAACAAAATGAAACATACACCTCTTTTAAATCTGAAATCACTCAATCCAATTGACTTACTTGCCAGCCTATAGGTTAGTTGAAATTAAAAAAAAAAGGTGAATGGTATGAATAGGTCTCTATAATAATAGTAAATATACTATAATACAAGTTATACAAAATTTAGAGGTGAAGGCAAAAAAAAACTCTCAAGAGGACGGTTCCAGAATAAAATCTATGAAAATCAGTCCTTATCTTAGAACGCACCTACTTATCAGTAAATCTAAATCAAGCTAAACAAGTATATATAAATTCTATAAGGTTTAAAGGAAAAAATACTCGGGTTTTTCATGCACAGCAAGTGTTTTCCGTATGTATGGGCTCTAGGAAACTAGGCACTGGGTGGCACTTATTATTATATCCTTAAGCCAATCCAATCAGAACGTTCCACGAGATGAGGTAAGATTTCATCAGTTTCCGTATCATCTATTTTATGTTGGATCATAGATAAATAGAACTCGTTCTTCCTGATNTGAGAGTATTGACCCTTTCGTAGTAGTCCGTTTTATCCAGAATTACTACTTTGTTACCTTTGTCGGCTTTCAAATAAAAATCGTCCTTTTCTCTCAATCGTTTGATAAGTTTCTTTTGGTTTTTATTGTTGTTTATTGAATGCTTCCCTCATATCTAAGCATAAACCGAAAGAAACCACTTCGAAAGTCATAAATATTGTTGAAAATCATTCATCACAATCGTTTGATAAGGAAGAGATGGACCTTTTGAACAACGGTTTGAAATTTGGCATCCCGCCTTCCGAGAAAGTTCTTGAGGATAACGTTGCTAGGGTTGAAAGTTCGATTCAATATATGCCCGTATCCTCCAAGGAACTAGTTTGAGAAAAGGTCAGGTCAGTTCCTCGTATATTGATGGTATGGAACTGAGATGTATTTATCTTGGTTTTTGTCCTTTCTGAAAGTCAAGATTTCGGTCATTCTTAACCTGAACTTGTTCTTTCTTATTATGTCATCTACAATACCCCTCGAGGAACCGTTAGTGGCTGCTATTTTCTGTATTGTACGTCTTCCTTTTTTGAACCTATCATGTGTTAGAGGGAAAGTCAAAAGGCGATTCACTAAAAAATTTAACCCAGCACGTTTATGCTGTCCACAGTGATGTGAACTGTCAGGAATATACCTGTACGTGCTTGTTTCTTTTCTTAAATATAAATCTGTTCCTTTTAAGTTACTTCTAGACTTATATATTTCATTTCGTTTCAGATAAGAAACAAATTCAATAATGACAGTTCTGGCTTTGGTGCTGTTCTCAATGAACTTGCCACTTCGAAATGTTTTATTGAGATCACCCAATGTGCATTTAATTTTCAGTTCCTCATTAAATATGTGAAGAACCTTGGCGGGTAGATTTTCGTCTGTCTCTTCTTTCATTCCTACGAGCCTCAACGTGTTACTCCTACTTCGCTGATCTAACACATCTAATTTACTATTAACAAATGCGATTTCTCTTTTGTTAGAATGTGTTAACTGATCCAAGGCATCAAAGTCGGTCAATACATTATTTAATTTTTCGTCCATTTTTTCAATTTGCTTGCCTAGTATCTCCAATTGTGCATCTATCTTGTTAGTTATCTTTGAAGACAGCTTGTTAACAATTATTTTCATCGTGTTTTCATCAATATTACTCACTGATACACTAGTGCTTCGTGTTTTACTCATATTCAATGAACTGGTAACACTGGTTGAGCCGATCACTTAAAAAGTCACTTACGAAGATATTTTTTCAACACAACTGTTAAAATTCCATATAAATCTGTATAAATCACAGAAAATTCACAGAGCTCACACGCACGATGCTCACAGTAACATGGCTCACTAGAATATGGATCTGAAAACCACTATGCCTGATGGACTGAGTTCTTACAGCACGTTTCTCAATAAATAACGTCATGAGAATGAAGTGCTAATTAGGTGATCATCAAATATTAATAGTAAATCTAGATTTCATAATTCCTATGGGGTTTATGGACCCGATAACCACCACGACTGATGTACTGGGTTCTTATAGTACATTCCTCAATAAATAAGGGCAAGAGACTGAAGTGCTGATTAGGTGTTTGCAAAAAATTAAGATGAAAACGACCGTGAATAAGCGGAAAAAAATTCGGGATACCTGATTTGAGAATATCAATTAGCAATATACAATAAAGTCTTGAAATGCTCGTAAACTCATACAAAGACAATCAAAATGAAGTGCTAATTGAGTGCTCACTAGATATTTATAATAAACATAGATTCCATAATGGCTATGGGGCTCTTGGACCTGAAAACCACCATGACTGATGGACTGAGTTCTTACAGTACGTTTCTCAATAAATAAGGGCATGAGAATGCTCACTAGATATTCACAGTGATTCCATAATGCCTATGGGGCTCATATATCTGAAAACCACTATGACTGGTGGAATATCTAAAGTGAAATTCAAATCAGTTTGGTGGTTCTCAGGTCCATGAGCCCAATAGGCATTATGGAATCTAGAGTCACTATAAATATCTGGTGATCACCTAATTAGCACTTTATTTTCTTGCCCTTATTTATTGAGAAGCGTACTATAAGAACTCAGTTCATTGGTCATGGTGGTTCTCAGGTCTATGAGCCCCACAGCAATTATGGAATCTAGGTTTACTATAAATATCTAATGAGCACCTAAGTAGCACATTATTCTCTTGCCCTTATTTATTGAGAAACATACTATAAGAACTCAGTTCATTGGTCATGGTGGTTTTCAGGTCTATGAGCCCCACAGCAATTATGGAATCTAGGTTTACTATAAATATCTAATGAGCACCTAAGTAGCACATTATTCTCTTGCCCTTATTTATTGAGAAACGTACTTTAAAAACCTGGTACGTCAGTCATGGTAATTTTCAGGTTCATGAGTCCCATAGCCATTATGGAATCTAGGTTCACTATAAATATCTAGTGAGCAATTAATAAGCACTTTATTTTGATTGTCTATGTATTAGTTTACGAGCATTTCAAGACGTTATTGCATATTGTTAATTTTTTTTCCCAAATCAGTTATCCCGAATTTTTTTTCGCTTATTTACCGTCGTTTCCCTCTTAATTTCTTGCAAGCACCAGATAAGCACTTAAATACCACGCTCAGTTCATACCTGATTGAGCATTCGAGAGACCTGATTCTTAGATCTGTTGTTTAGTGAAACTGGAAGCTGTTGTTTATTAATTAGGATATTTTACGATCCTCATCGTTCAACACGTAATAAGCACCTAATGGTGTTTCCTTATCATTCATTATTTCATTATTATTTTCATTGCGTTGCTGATATTACATAATGCTAGCAACTTACACCGCATAATGCGAGTTGCGGTGTAAGTTACAGAGCACCTAATTTTTGACTTCGATACCTAAAAATCATCTAAAAAGTATCAGCTATAATATCCCAAGGACATTGATAACTAACGAAATAATTTTATCACAGTTTTCGAAAGCACGTTATTTGGTAACATCCCGACGCCGAAGGCGGAGGGATGTTACCTAAAATAACGTGCTTGAGGAAGTTGTGATAAAATTATGAGTTATTTATCAATGTTCNGGGGACAAACCGCTCCGACAAATCTCTCCACTCTGGAGAGATTGCAAAACAAACTCATTAGGATGCTGGTGAATGCTCCATGGTTCGTGCGGAATGAAGCCATCCGCAGAGATTTGAAGCTGTTAACAATACAGCAATCCATTCAGTTGAGGAATCAGAGAGTTTTCGAGTCAGCGGAAACTCATGATAACCCACTAGTTAGGGAAGCTGTAGATTACACTATGGACGACCCCACTCGATTCAGAAGGCCCCGTCGCTCAGTTGAGTGAAGGCCCCACGACGTCCGCTAAAAATGAACAGTTTGTTCATCAATACCCCAGTCAGGAAGGGGTACACAAGGCCAGAGCGGCATAGATGTCATTGACCTCTATGCCGTTAGCAAACAACACCGCTTAGTTATGAACCACTCGTCCTCATGACGAGAGACAGTTAAAAGGGTACGGGAAGAGATTTTCAACCTGATCAAAGTCAAGATGGATTTAGTCGTTGAACTGGCATTCCATGATTTCTTTGACAACCTTAACACGACGCAAAAGAGGTGTAATTTACAAAGTGTCTTCTGGTTTTGAATTTTTAACGTTGCATTGCGGCGCTTCAGCTTTTGCCTGCACTTTTGTAGATAGGTAAAACTCTATTTTCATAATTTGTTCTCGTCTTCAACGATATTACCGTATTTAGAATCACACGTTAGAAGATAAGTCCTTCTGAGAGTTGTCGTTCGTATGGGGGCGACAGCTGATTAAGGGAAAAACAGATTTTGAGCAGATTAGGAGCTTTCGTAGATTTCTGTTGCCTGTGATTCGTCACTCACAATTCGTGAAAAGCTCATTATTAGTGTCAACCAATCATCTTTTGTCGATCATTCAACCTACAACCCCATAACCTTGTTAAGTTGCAGCAGATCTCAGTTGATATTGATGGTGTTGTAGAAACCTCCATTGAAAGCAACGAAATACTTCCTGCTATTTCGTGGAAATCAAACAAATCAGCAAGCCGAAAGGCAAAATTCCAGTAAAAAACCGCACAATCAACGGGATGCAGTCGAAGGTCAATATTCGACCCACTCTGAAGGTGAAACCTTGATGAAACAGGTAACCCAGTTGATAATATATCTACAATTCCTTTGTAGCTGAAAATTTTCCAATACAAAATCTTACGTCGGAGAATCCTCCATTATCAAGTAATATAACTGTGCTAAATTTTCAAAAATTTCCAGTGGTAAATTTGTTTCAGGCAGACATATTTGAAAATAATGTTGGATAAATGTTCATAAAACGCAAAATTTAGCGGAAAATCATACTATTTATAGAAATATTCATACTTCACCTGCCCTGAAAGATGTAAGAGTCGTACGCACTGATTTTCTGAACAATATTGAAGCGTATTTTGATGCTGTGTTACGTGATTTTTGGCTTTTCCTATTGAGCGATAGAACAGTTTAGGTGTATGCACCGACTAATATTTCAATGGACTCGAGTGTGGGTCATATAACTATTATTATTAGCCAAAAAAATGCATGAGAGGGCTCCAAGTGATTTACAACAAAATGAAACATACACCTCTTTTAAATCTGAAATCACTCAATCCAATTGACTTACTTGCCAGCCTATAGGTTAGTTGAAATTAAAAAAAAAAGGTGAATGGTATGAATAGGTCTCTATAATAATAGTAAATATACTATAATACAAGTTATACAAAATTTAGAGGTGAAGGCAAAAAAAAACTCTCAAGAGGACGGTTCCAGAATAAAATCTATGAAAATCAGTCCTTATCTTAGAACGCACCTACTTATCAGTAAATCTAAATCAAGCTAAACAAGTATATATAAATTCTATAAGGTTTAAAGGAAAAAATACTCGGGTTTTTCATGCACAGCAAGTGTTTTCCGTATGTATGGGCTCTAGGAAACTAGGCACTGGGTGGCACTTATTATTATATCCTTAAGCAAATCCAATCAGAACGTTCCACGAGATGAGGTAAGATTTCATCAGTTTCCGTATCATCTATTTTATGTTGGATCATAGATAAATAGAACTCGTTCTTCCTGATTCCAAAAAATAGTATCTAACCCTTTTATTACCTCGAAGACTACCCCAAACTCCTATTTCTCCAGAAAATTGGAAATACTAGTTGAAACGGTATCAAAAAACGTCTAAAAATCCATTGCAAGTGTTATGGTCTGATCGAGACAAAAAGTGGTATAAAACGGAATATATATTCCGAAAACTCACCTCATGTGCAAAAACCCGACGCATCCCTGAGACGTTTAATACTAATATACCAGAGACTTATCCTCTATTATTGAAGAAAATCCGACGATATCCAGAAAATACAATAACGCAAAATGAAATTCGCCGACTTGGAATGAAATAGTGAAGATTTCGTTAAGAACGATACATAATAGGCACCATTCATCCAATCTATCCAAAATCTACCCAGTCACTGTTCCGTCGACCGAAACATATGAAACGGTTTTTCTTTCGTACCTTTTTTTTTTGTCCATAAAATTCGCAGACCCAAGCCACAATTGAAATCGTTCATTTTAACCGGAGAACGAAATAAATGAATTGGCATATGTATGGATATTTAATATACCTACAGTGTTCTTTCGGCTACCCTAGTATTTTAAAAACTTTTAGTATTTTATTAAAAACACATTACAGATGAGAATGAACCTTTTTCAGGAATACAATTTTATTTGACTAATGTACTTGCGAAGTCTGGTTTGAATGCTACAGCTACATGTTTAATTCGTATGCTGAGTTCAAAGGAGCATTTTTGAGCAACACTGGGGCCCGACTTCACAATTAGGGATGGAATTGAAATACGAAGTAGGAACATATCAGGAAGTGACGTTAGTGGATTGATTCAATTCACAAGTTGAATTGGCGGGACATTTGGTGCTCCCTTATACACAACAAAAATTGATTGTGATTATAGCACGACACTTTCATTCTAATATTTGTGCAATAGTAGTAGGAACAGAGCGTGTTAACAGGTCCTAGTGTACAAGAAATAATAATAATAATGTATGTGTAAAAGCAGAGTTGACATTAAAAAAGTACCACGGTTGAAAAAATTGAATAAAAAAATTAAAATTGAATTCGCTTGTGAAAAATTGTCCAAACTTATGTGTGAAGTAAAAATAATAATGACTTGAACAAAAAATCGGAAATACAAAATTTAAATCGAATTAACAATTTTATTATATATAAAT